ACACAGTGCCTGGCCCTGTTGTGATCACATTCCCACTGCACCTGGAGGTGGTGCACACAGTTCCTACCCCCGTTGTGATCACATTCCCACTGCACCTGGAGGTGGTGCACACAGTTCCTACCCCCGTTGTGATCATATTACCAGTGCATCTGGAGATGGTACACACAGTGCCTGCCCCTGTGTTGTGATCACATTCCCAGTGCAGTGTCTCCACACTTAACTCTGCTCTCATTACTTTCGTCAGTTCTCCTTGACACTTTAAATAATTCTGCAATGACTGATGCACCAATAGTCTGAACCATCCAGCCTTGGGACAGTGTTGCCTGCCTAATATTGAAAGGGAAAGTTACTTTCGGAATCCTACCCAGCAGTACAAACCTTTTAATGTTCAAGGGGGTAAAAGCTACGTCATCGGTAAACATCTGGGTCAGGAAATATGCACCAGGGCAACCAAAGTATGTCCGAGGGCATGCATACTGTATGGTGTGTACTGCTTTAATGGATGAGGAGTTGGCTTCTAGCTAAATTCTGTATGCACTGTGTGAGTAGGCAATTTCGGATGCACCAGCAATCTTTCTAGTTGTACTGAAAAGTGTCAGAGAAGCATGTGCAAAATAACAGAGCTTTAACTAAGGAAGTACAATGTCTGAGCCACAGTTTAATTCAGCTTCGATGACATTCTTACGGCCACAAAGGTGCCACACGTTTACAAAATTTGCTTAAGTACTGATTGAAGAAACACAGCTTGATGACTGAGTATAGCGGTGTGTAATAAACATGCTTACCCATCAGGGGAAAATGCTTAAACAGGCTTACAGCTTGGGCCACGTTCCTGTTGACATATAGCTAATGCAGAGGTGGGAAATGCTAGCAAAAAAAAGATTTCTGTCTGGTTATTCCCTTCCAGTGTGATTTTTTTTTACTCAGCATGGGACATTTCGATAACTCCGTAGAATTATGGTGTTCTGAATGCCAAAGCTGTCTGCACAAACACAGGCAGCAAATCACATATATCACATACTGGACGATAAAAAAAATAATTGTCAAATTCCAGATGTATCCATATTTCAGCTGAAACTAGGCCTACCACAGTGTGGAAAAAAAACACCCACAGATTCTGTGGCAGGGACTGAAGTTCTATAGGCTATGGCATGTGTCATTCAAGCCAGCTTGCTAACAATCGCCTGGTTGAGCGAATTCAGCTGATTTGTCCATTTGTCCAAAGCTGTGTATCGGGCTCCGCCCCTCTTCTGGTGATCAAGTTCCAGAAGTTGGTTGACTTGATCAATGCGTCCATGAATCGTGCTGGAAAGGTAAAAATCAAGATATTATAGCTTAAACAGTAAAGCAAAACTTACACACCCTACTTACACTATATTTAAACAAAACTATTGAGCAAAAATACTTGCAAGAATAATCAAGCCCCATTTATTACCAAGTGATAAATTCAAATATGGCATGTTAGCATCAAAACTGTTTTTATCTGAGTTCTCTGTGAAAGACGAGTTGCTCGCAGAAACAACCTTTCCTCACCACCAAAGTCAAAGTGGAGTGGCTGCACTTACTTGTCCAATATGCACTGAACGAGTAAACTCTCAACGTCTCCTACATCAATGTTCAGCTCCTGAAGGTCCCAGAAAAACAAACTTGTCATAAACAGCCAGAGAAATAAACACACAGCCGTGCCATTACTAACCCAAGTTACCTTTGAAATAAAGGGGATGTGTATTCTTGTGTAAGGCTTAATTAATTTGATGAGAACTTGAGTCCTGATGTTCCGCAGCAACTCTGAAAACACAAGTAATTCACACGCTGATTAATCAATGAAACATCCAAGAGGGTCTAAAAAGCCATAGAAACAGCAGCCGAAGCTCACCCTCAATGTGCTCCCTTATAAACGGATCATCCATGATGTTACTGTGATTGGTCTTCAGAATTTTCTCAAACTCAGTGATGTCATTATTCTGATAGGCACTGTCAAGTAAGCAAACCAAGTGAAATGTCACATTCACCCTCGTTAAGTGCGCATTCCCAAAAGCGCGGCACATGCTACGCCTCAGATTAGTTATGGAGTTAAGGAAAAAAAATAGACATGAAACAGTAAGCCATCCTCAATATGACAGCATTTATTTTTAAAGCGTCTTACCTTACTAAGTTTGTCATAGCCAGGATCTCTGGGTCGTTCTTGTACGGCTTTGCCTATGGGAAAGGCATCCAGACTGACTACAGACAAAACTCACCAAGGGACATTTTCTAATGCTAGATAGAAACAAAGCAGCAGCACTACAGGAACATCAGGAACGGAGACCAGAGTTTCATCCATCACTGGGGTTCCAGTATGAGGTCCAGACCCATTCTACGCGTCCAGATCCAATTGACCAATCAGGTGAGGCGCACCGATCACCTGGACGGGACACGATGGTTATGGCGGCAGCCATAAAGCCTCACCTCCTGCGAGTCGAAGGGGTTGATCCCCGACTTCATGAGCATGTTGGCCAGCACCAAGTACTTCAGGCAGGTGGTACGGCGCGGACTCCCCGACTCGTCATAGTTCTTGAATGCCTCGAAGAAATCCGTGTGGGCCTTCTCAAACTCGCCCTCACGCAGGTGCATCTTACCGCCACACTCTGAAAGACAAAGCCTGGGCTCAGCTGGCCGTCGGGTCGAGATGCTCCACCGTGACTCGACTCCTACTACTCCAATCGTGTGGATCAAAATGTGCCTGGAGAATCTTCCTTTATATTCTGCTATAGCGCCGTTTCAAACAGGGGGTAAGCGGGGCCTCAGACTAAAAAATGTGACCATACGCGTTGCGTGGACTGAACGACAGTGCCCCCTTGAGGCTAACAGAAAAGCAGCAGCAGCACAGATTGGGCAGAGAGTGCCGTCACCTCTGATGACGCCCATGATCAGCGGGTGAGGGATGGCGGACTTGATGTGCAGGGACTGTTCATATAAAGCCTTCAGCTTCTTGTTGTTCTTCTGCGCTGTGTACATCTGAATCTCCAGGGCGTAGATCTCCAGCAGCTGCGTTCCCTTCTTTAAGTCATCTTCACCGTCGTCGGTCTAAACAGTAGGTGGCGTGGTGGTTAAGGACACAAACTCAATCTCGACGTTGCTGGGTCGGACCAGAGGCACCTTGCTTTGGCACCCTGGATGAAGGTACCTGACCTGGTCCAACACATTCAGCTCTATTTCAAGCTACAGCTACTTGGACAAAAACGACAATTAAGCATTTAAAATGAACAGGAACAGAGGTCAAGCCCCCGCTGAGCACACTGCCAGTTAACCTGCATAGCTGGAACAGACAAAAATGCCTTTGCCACAAGCAGAAATGAAAGCAATGAAATCTGCACTGCCTGATAGAGTTAGACATGTCCCTAAATCAATAAGGGAGGGGCTTGCGTTTCACTTCTTCAACCAATCACAGTCTTCATTGTTTGATATCACCACACTGGTTTTTTTTTCTTTTTTTCTTATTTTCAAATTCAAGGCTTCCAGCCATTGGGCTGGGGGAATGGGGGCAGTTTGCGGCTCAGTAGAATAAACCTTTATGCCGGTGATCGGACGGTTGCCGATTCAAGCCTTGTTTTTATTGTTATTACTACTGTCATCATTATCACCATCATGAAAAAATGAAGACGTGCCCTTACATTGCTCCATACAGCTTCTGCACGTAAGCATTTTCCTACGCTTTGTATATTAAAGGGCATACACAAAAACATGGGCACTTTACAAATCTGTGCACCTTGTCGCTTAACAGAAAACACTGGTTTTAATTAATGCGGTGAAGTCACACAATGAAGACTGCGATTGGTTAAATGCAAGCCCCACCCTTGTTCACCCAGGGACACGTCGAATTCTGCAAAATCAGGACATGCCATGAATTCTCACTTCCCAGCCCTAGTGTGTCAGGCAAATTGAATAACCTGCCAAGTCTTTAAAGTCTCCTATAAATAACCAATAAGACGGCCACCCATTAATAATGGAAAAGGTCCTCACAGGTGCTGCAGTTTTCCTGATACTGCACCACAGCAGGTGACGGGACAGAATGAAAAGCAGCATATATGGTGTCTAGGGTTTCTGGCAAAGTCCATCTCCAAAAAGCCACCGTGGTTTGACTCACAGCAGCTCTGACTCACAGCCGGCAAGGTGAGTGAATGGTGTCTTAAGAGGACGGCGTATTCCTGGCTACCTGACATGACTGATGCAGCTGCCTGAGGATCTTCTGCAGCTTGCTGTACTCCTCCCGCTCCAGGTACAGCTTGCCCAGCTAAAGCAGATGGAAAGCAGAGCACCTTAGCAACAGACACCTGTCCCGCTGCCACTTGTCTGCAGCCGGCAGCTCAAAGCTCACCTTGGTGTTGGTCTTAAACCAGAGCCGGTCATTTTTGGCATCTTTCAGGGCCTCCAGTGTGGTTTCATAAAACTCTTGCAGCAGGTCCATCTGGGGGGAAGTGACAGAATGAGCAGGGGTGTGATTGGCACCCAAAAAGCACTCTGGACCATCACCACGCGACACATCCACATAAGTATCTTTTTCCTCGTCTACTGTCCAGTACTGACACTACTTCATGGCTGATGTTGCCATTGCTTGCACCTTACTTTCCCCTATTCATCCACCCATCCATCCATCCATTCATCCAAAACTATTCAAGCCAACTTACCAGACTAATCTGTCGACCTTCAGACACCACTGAGACAGACTGCACAGAGAACCATTCAAAACAGCAGATCAACACCACACACTCTAATTTGTTTCAACACCGACTGCATGTCGGGAGGGGACAACCGAAATTAACAGATCTTTCACCTCCAAACTAATGCAAAGAGGAACATTTTGACAATGCTGCTTACATTTGAACCTGAGCATTCATTGGAAGCTGAGCCTACTTGCAATTATGCAGCGTTCAATTCAATTTTATTTGTAACGCGCATTTTCACATCGTCTCAAAGCGCTTTACTGTCTCCATGACAGATGCTTGCTTGTTATGTGCAATTTGTCCCACTTGTCTTTTGCTTTGGAAAAAAAGGGTCTACTAAATAAAGGAAAGGTGAATGTAACACAGGGAAGACAGATTCAAACCTGTTTGGAGGTGGAGATGTAGTCGAGAATGGAATTGATGGACTTCTCCGAGTAATTCCTGGTAACAGCGCTGCGGATGTATGTGAGCAGCTGTTTGTACCGGTTCATCATCTCAGGGAAGTTTGTCTGAAAATGCAGCAGTGGAAGAGGGTGAGCACTGCACACAGGCTGACAGAACGCAGTGAGGCACTCTGTCAGAGTCCAGGCCCGCTGTGTTCAGTCAGCACTGCATGCAGGCTGACGGAGCGTGGGTCTGTATGGCGGTGAGACACTCTGTCAGAGTCCAGGCCCACTGTGTTCAGTCAGCACTGCATGCAGGCTGACGGAGCGTGGGTCTGTATGGCGGTGAGACACTCTGTCAGAGTCCAGGCCCACTGTGTTCAGGTCTGCTTTTTGGTACCACGCAGGCAGGCAGGTCACCATAGTAACATCAAACATCTTAAGTATCAAAGTGCTGCTTTCGACTGCTGGCCTGCTTACCAGTTTGAAGTTGATTTTTATCATCTGTTTCAGTGCTTTGAAGCCCCATTCACCCTTTTCACCCTCAAGCTCCAAAACCTGTTGTGCAGAGAAACACCCCGTCAATACCATCACGTTTCAACTAACTTCAGAGGACGGCCCACGCCCAGGCACATTCACGGGCAGCTTAGTCTGAACGCAGAGACACCAAACCTTCTGAAAGCTGCTGAGTGCTGCCTTGGGATCATCCTCCTTCAGTGCTTTAGAGTTGTAATATTGGTTCTCCAAGTCAACGTTGGGTTCAGAGTTGCTGTCTTCGGAGTATTCCTACAGCGAAAGTTCACAATGGATCAATTTTTTAAAAAAGCAAACAAAAAAAAAGAACAAGAACAAGAAACCCTTTCAGCCAATCAGGTGTTAGCTCTTCTGTGCATCAGCATGAAAGAAAAATCATTGCTTGAAAATCGAAAACAGGGGTATATATGTACACCCAGTATGGTGAGATATATGCAACGTACATTAAAAAAAAAAGCAAAATAGTGACTGAGAAAATGAACTTAAAAACTAACAAATCTCTAATAAATGCTGCACGTAACTGGATCGCATTATCTACCCCAAATGTCTTTTAGTGTTAATTGTGTTACATCATGAACGATGACAGATGCACAACAAGTCTACGAAACTGAGAACCGCTGCCAATGTTTTATTATTATTTAGGCATGGCAGTCGCGGGAGGTTCTGCAGAAACGTATCGCTAATCGAGAAACGTCCGGAAAATCATCGGGTTCATGCAGCGCGAAAAACACTGGTTTGGGACCACCGGTCGGAGCGAAACATACTCAAGGAGGACCCCCGGTGGGAGCAAAACATTTTCAAGGGGACCGGGAAGAAAAACATAGCAGTGCACGCCCGGCATTAGTTATCAGTTACTTATATGATAACAGACCAGCGATAGCGCATCCCCAGTTCAGCAATATTTTCATTTGGGGCTCCCGGTTATACAAAATCCCGGTTTTCACACGTACCAAGTCATAATCTTCTTCATCGTCGCACATAAAATCATCCTCCATGTCAGACATCTTGACAGGAGTTCACTGCCGAGACATCCCAGCATGCACTACGTTTTCTTCCTCGTGTTCTGCGACAACTTTTACGTAGAACACTGAAAACAGAATTGCACCACCAAGTGGTCTGGAAGTTAGACTTATTTTACAAGATAAAATAAAGCAGGCTGCTGAAGACGCACAAAATCCCTCTAAAGCAGTCCCCAGAAGTCTCGGCAGACTAAAATCATAACAGGGAGTAGCGATATAGCCCTTAAGCGTATGCATGAGCCATAACAGTGACTTTATGAATGGTTATAAATTATTTTAGGCGCCAGTTCACTGGGAACTGATGCTTTGTTGCCTTCTTTCAGAAGGACGAAATAGACGGTGCACAAAATATCCCAAAAGCAGGAAAAGTAGTCTTTACGCCAAACGTTTAAGGTCGGTTGACGTGCTCCGGTGCTTGGAGCCGATCGGCGCCGGCCAGGCCCTTTCCCCTCCACGTGTTTTCCGCCGTAAGTGTGACAGTCAGCTGATACCTGCCACTGGAGCTCCCGGAAAGTCTTGGGCGTCAGTCTGTATCACTTATATTAGTTGATATAACCGAGATCGTGTGTAATTCATAATGGCTGCATTTCCACCAAAGCTGCAGGTTCAGCTAAGTGAAAACAAGAGGTAAGTGTGTGAGCAAGACTTTGCTTTGACAAATTACATAATTATTCACGTTCACTAGTTAGCATTAACCGCATGCATAACCCGTCTTTATCATAATCAAACTATTAACCAATATAGTTATGATCCGGAAAATAGTTTTGTCATAGTGTCTCATTCATTTCATTACCGTGTGTATTTCCAGGTTTCAGAAACTGAAAGAAATCTTTACAGAAAAGTTTGGAGAATCTCCTTTGTTTTACGCATATGCACCTGGAAGAATTAACTTAATAGGTAATTCATTCTTAAAACGGGATTTAATTATTTATTTATTTTTAAACGGATTTTACTTATCAATGGACTCATTTATAAATTCCGTCTACTACCATGTTTACGTTAATATGCAAATGGGCGTGTTTCCTTATAGGGGAACACATTGACTATTGTGGATACGCTGTACTTCCCATGGCAGTGGAGCAGAACATCCTTGTAGCCGTCTCGGTGAATAAGTCTCCGACTATTGAGCTGGCAAATACAAATCCGCAGTACAAGTAAGATCATACGGCCTTAAAGGTTGGTGGTAAGAGTTGGCGTAAGGAGGTGCCCTTTAAATGCCTGCTGCCAGCGAGTCCTGCCTTCGCCCAGGAGATGGGGCGCTTACACCGTATTCAGATGTGCTGTGTGCTGCCTTACAGAGATTTCACGGCCGCCACCGACAACATCGTCATAGACAGGACAAAGCCCCAGTGGTATTATTACTTTATGTGCGGAGTCAAAGGAATTCAGGTGAGACACGCTATTGTGCGTGTGGCGAGATTTTTGTTTACACGCTATTTGTTATACTTAATGCATTTTTCTGATCTTTAGTATACAGTAAATAAATGAATCAATGTTTTCATTTAGACTTGGATCTCAGGGCTAGATTTTCTTTTAAGTAATCAGTTTTGTTTGTATTTGTTTTAAATAATCATATCATAAATAGAACAATTGAAATGCTCATGTACTGTAGAGTATTATATGAGTATTATATGTATGGGCACTGTATGACCTTGCCTTAATGGGGCACACCCATACTCATTTAATGGGGTCTCCACCCACAGCACAACTACAAAAAACCCAATTCCAAAACTCTCATTTCACAACAGTTTCCCTGTACTGTCAATGCTTCATTTGACCTGGGTCAGCTGTCGTCAGCAGTGGTCTCTCTCACCACCCTGTCTATGTGGCATCCTCCTCATAGGAGCATTTCGGCCTCACATCGATGGCTGGAATGCGGTGTGTTGTTGATGGCACTGTCCCTCCCAGTTCTGGCCTGTCCAGTTCCAGTGCCCTGGTGTGCTGTGCCGGCCTGGTCACTCTGGAAGCCAACCAGCGGACGCTGTCTAAGGTAACACCCGTTCATCAATGTGACCGATCCATGGCTGAGATGGACTGTGAAGAGAGAGAACAGCCTCCTGAAAAAGCTTTCAGGAATATCAGGATCAATCGAATTATGCTCAGAGTCCCACTATGAGTGTGAACTACAGAAAGACTGAGCCTATAAAGGAGGTCCCCAGGAACAGCATTTAAAAGAGCCGTCATCAAATGACCATTTCCTAATATTTCAGTTTCCTTCCTCTGTCTGCCGTCCTTACTGGCTGCAGCTTCTGAATACACATCCATGGCATCGCTTTGAAGTGGGGGCGGCTTTGAGTGGGGGCTCATAAAGCCCCCCCCAGCCCGGCCCCTCTCTTCACCGCTCACTTGACCACGCTGCGTATTAATACGTCCGGAATGTAAACACGAGGGCCATATGCCATTTCATTGTCGGCTGCCAAAAACGGTTTTATGCAGAACCTAATGACCGCCTGCCTATCCGTCTAATCTCCTTTTTGACAGTTATTCAAACAGTACCAAAGCCTTTGTTTTTCCCTCAATTCCCCAGCGCCGAGCTTGGCAAAGGAGCATGTTTACATTTTAGTGCACGTTACTGGACTTTATAATACGATAAATGTACTCCCACCGTTCTGAGAAGCGAGTCTGAATCGCGGTTTGGCTTTAGCTGTCCCTGCGGTGCCCATGTGTGTAAATGATGTATGCTCATGTTCTTCTTTTCTTTGTTAGTCGTTCTGTTGTGAAAATGAGGTTTTTCCTCTGATTCGCTGACAGATTTGGTCACGCTCAGGACCCCCGTAACGCGTATGTGTTGCGTGCGTCAGAGACTGGGCCTGAGGCTCGGTGACAGAGCCCTCGTCTCACACCGACATGGCCATGGCTGTTTAGCCGTTTTGTTTTCATCTCCTCTCGTGTGTTCTTTTTGATGCTGGGTTCTCGATAAAGGAAGCAGATGTTAGCCGTGGTTCTCGGCCTTCTGGCCCGGTTCTACGGCCCACAGAGCCGCTGGCTAGACACGCATGTTCTGCAGCAGCCCTCGCCCATTTTCAGTAGACCTCAGATGAGCATGCGTGCATCATTGCCATCTATATTTTATACCTTATTAAATCTGCTGACACTTGTGCCCAGGTGTCTGTGACACTCATAGTCATCAGCGCTGTGACAGGATCCCATAGCAGATCCCAGGGTCGTTAAAGGAACAGCACGCTTCATACTGCCGCTGCCTGAAGGTTCCTTAAACTTATTGGTATGTCAGGGGAGCAACCAAACAGATGCTGCAGTAAGCCATGTTCGAGGCTCCTTCTTCCACTCCTCCCCAGTCTGGATTTCTGTGTTATGCACCCCCCCCCCCAGTTAGCATTAGCTTTTATGCACGGTGAGGTACAGAAATGGGTCATTGTTAAGATTTGTCAGCACCGGAGGGAAACCGGTATGGTAGTAAACAAACCAAAACATGAAAGTGTTTTTTTTGGGGGGGGGGATTTGTAGAGGGAGTCCACATGTTGTTTAGGCGTAGATTTTGGGGTGAGTCATCGATAATAAGGGAATTGAGTAAAGGGGATCAAAGATAGGAGGGGGTCAGTGCTGATCAAAGGCTGGATCGGGCCCACGCTCTTCTGTTGCTGCTCTCTGGTGACCCCAAGAAGTACTCGCTGTGTTTATGCCGGGGGTGGGGGGGGGGCGGGCAAATCCAGCCAGTGTGACGACCTGGTACTCCTCCATCGCTGAGGTTCACGTATCTCTGTGCCAAACAGCCGGTCACACATTTCCCCCACCCCTGACGGATGACCCGTCAGACACATAATGCTGACATCTCTCCATACATCTGATCCTGTTTCAAAGGCTGAGGCCTTTCAGCGCCGGGCTGGGCCCGCGCGCGTCACGCCATGAGGGCCGACGGCAGCACGCCGCGCACGGAAATGCCAGCAGGGCCCAACGATTTAAAGCAGGTTTTTAAAACCACACACGTTCCTTACATCCAACAGAATTGCACACAGTTATTGTATGATAAAAAAGATAAATTTGGGGTTTTCATAGTGAGGTGGCTGGGAATCGAAGTGAAATGGAGAACCGACTTCAGGCATGATCAGGTTCAAAGTGACATGGGTAGATGACAGTGGTGACCAACACTGAGAGCCAGCATGTCACCATATAACATTAATGATATATAGTCATCCCTGCGTGCAGCAAAAGTGATCTTTCTCTTCTTGGTCTAATTTCACATTAACCACGACCTACTGAAGGCTATATTTACAGCAGTATGTGTTCTGTCATGGTTTTCTGTGTTGACTTCACCCTATTCGTTTTGTCCTGGTTATTCTGATCATATGACGCATGGTAGCAGAGTTTCGGTTGTGCCGATGTTACTGGCCTGCCCGCTTCAGCGTGGATACGAGCTGTGTGTAAAATTCATTAGCATGTCTCTGAATAGTCAACGGGATCGTTTTGTTTTCTTTTTCCCAGGTCTCTCTGACGATCCCCATTCTGTTTGTTTGTTGCCATGTCCGTAATGACCCCCACCCATGTTTCCGAGGGGTAAATGTTACCTCTCGTCCTGCTGCGATGCCTTGGCAAGATAAGTGTTATCTCGCCCTGATTGATTGTTGGGGGGAGTCGGACAGGGAGTGCTAATTCCGCAGAAAATGGAGAGATGGGAAGCTGATTAGGGACATGAGTGCGTGAGATATCTGCTGGGAGGACGTGAGCTGAGTTATGATTTTAGTAGAAGTCAGAAGTGTCTGTTTGCTGCCGGGAGGCGAGACCCACGCGGCCATTCGTACGGCCAATCAGATGTCTCCGTATGTCACTGAGTGGGCAAGCACTCTGGGAGGAGCCTGAATCAGACCCCGGTTACCACGGCGGCAGTGACGTCTAAATTTTGCTTGATGAAAATTTGCCCTGACGGCAAGTTCCATTCCATTATGAAGCACATCAAGGGCCCCACAGATTGTGACTTGGCATGAATAGCGGCTTTGGTATAGTACCAGCACAATGCCATTATCCTGCTCCAGACTCATGACCCCGGGGACCCACCTCATGGATAACCTGTCCATGTCCTGGGCCTATGCATGCAGTGAAATCTCCTGCTTGTTGGGTCTGGGGCTTCCTCACCATTCTGCTTAATTTATAGTCCCAAAGCGGTGCAGCATACTTGAGTCGCTGCTTGAGTATTACTTTACAAGATTATGAACTGAAAAATGAAACAGACATTTTCGCTAATTTCAGTCTCATAATTCAGGAAAGATTCTAAGCAGGCATTTATAGGTTTGTGTTAAATTCTTATTTCGTTATAACAACATCCTTTGCCAGACTGACTTGCATAGTTTGCATTTTTACAGATGAGTCTTCTTCATCTGACTGAGGACCATGGCAGTATTTACAAAGCAGGGATTTGAAAGTGCACAAGCAGGTTTCCATAACACTGCCCATACATTACGCAGTGCTTAAGGTGAAGAGTTCATGCCTTTGTTATGACCTATGTGGAACATCTCTTTATTGTCCACTAGGTGGAGCTGGCTGAGATCTGCACGCGCTGCGAGCGCTACATCGGCACTGAGGGCGGGGGAATGGACCAGTCCATATCTTTCTTGGCAGAAGAGGGCAAGGTATGCCCACTGAGGTCTCGGCCACACGGGGTTACGGCGCGTCCGGATTCTGCGCAGTGATGCCAATTGATGGTTCCTCCTTCCTAGGCGAAGCTCATAGAGTTCAGCCCCCTCCGGGCCACCGACGTGAAACTACCCGCTGGTGCCGTCTTCGTGGTCGCCAACTGCTGCGTGGAGATGAACAAGGCGGCCACCTCGCACTTCAACACCCGCGTGGCCGAATGCCGGCTGGCGGCCAAGGTGAGCACCCCGTCCTGCCGGGCCCCATCGCCACGGCAACCGAAGCGCGTCAGCGAAGCCACCTAAAATATTTACGGCAAAAGCTGGCGCTGGAAAGGTCTGTTACGACACGCGATACCCCCCCCCCCCGTGTCCTTAATCGTCGCTCCACGCCCAGATCCGCTTCCCTCACCTGGGACGCAGCCACCTGATACCCCCCCGTTCATCACGCTTGCGAGCGTAAGGCCGCACGAACGCCTCTTGAGGTGGGGCAAGCCCTCGAGGCCGGCCCGCTGGCGGGGCCCAGGCAGGAGCCAGTGACGCAGCCTGTCTGTTTTATGTAACGTTTAGCTCATGAGGTAACCGCTGATGTGAAGCGTCTGACATACCCCGATGCTGACGGGCGCCTAAAGCACTCAGCTGTAGGCAGGCCGGTGAATCATACAGAAGGCAGCCTGTCACCAGCGCTGGTCGCCCTGCTCATACGGGCTCTGACGCTTCCCAGACGCCGCGGGCCCCAGGAGCCGTCGCGGGCCCCAGGAGCCGTCGCGGGCCATTTCCGTACGCGCTAACATCAGTGCACCAGGGCGGGGTCGCTCCAGTCCAGGTGGTGCCAGCAGTGAGGCAACTTCTTCCAGAAGAAGCCATTTTCCACACGGCTGCACGGTTGGTTTCAGGACGTCATTTTGGTCGAGCTTAGCTCAGGTCTCCTCATTCTGATGACATTGTATTTGGGGAGCTCATCTCGCACGGAATTTCATTAATGACTGAAATGTTCTTCCAGAGCATGGAGTCATTGACCAGCTGGGTAACGTGAACAAGAGCAGCAGGCCAAGGATACTGCAGCATTTCAGAAACCAAATAAACCCAAAATCCTCAAGGGGGGGGGGTGGTCTTAATTTATCCTGTGACCCTGCTATTGCTCTGAAGAGGACAGCAATTTAAATAAATAAGATGAGCGACGGCAGAGTGCGGGACACCTAAAGACGGATGCCTCTCTGTGTAGGTGCTGGCCAAGAACAGAGACCTGGACTGGGGCCGGATGCAGAGGCTGGGTGAGGTGCAGGCGGAGCTGGGCGCCTCCCTGGAGGACATGCTGGCCCTGGTGGAGGAGGTGCTGCGGCCAGAACCCTACAGCCGTGAGGAGGTCTGCCAAGTTCTGGGCATCAGCCAGGAGGAACTGGAGAGCAGCGTGCTGAGCGCCAACACACGACATGGTGAGGAGGTTTGCCCCCCCCCCGGGACCATCCACAGCATCCAGCTCGAGATTCCAGGAGGGTCCCGGTTCTGGGAAACACCCTCCTCCCCCAAATTTGAACATTTTTGGTCATTAACCACCTCACCAGCTGTGCCCCTCCCCCACCGTACTCAATTAGGGGCACTCAGAAGGTAATAACTGTGCAGCTGTCAGTTTGCTATGGCTCCGCCCCCTCTTGGCATGATCGCGGCTGGATTATTAGTCGCTGGGGCTGGTGGGTGGAGTGAATGGTGCTTTTTCCAGCGCCACGGAAACAGAGCCAAGTGGCCCGGTAATGTCACGGTGACACAAGGGTCAAACCGGGCAGAGACACTGATCATTGACAAGCTAGAGATCCGTTTAGGGTTAACGCCGTCTAAGCAGACAGATTTAAGCGGCGGACCTGAGAAATCATATGTGTCACTCCATGCAAGTACTGATGCAGAAATGTACAAGTTCCCCGAACTGCACAGGTGCTGTTTCGCTGATGGAGGTCTTCAGTTGCCATCTCGGTTGGAAGATAATCAGTGAACGCAGTAACAGCGAAATCTGATTCGGTGATGCCACCTTAAGACATTGTATATGGGATGACATCATCCCGTTGTATGTACATTATCGTTGGGGAAACATAGCTTAAGGAGAACGAATGGACGACACGAGCTGACTGTAACTGTGTGAAACCTGCTTGTCAGCAGCGCTGTGGTACGTAGATGTTCTCCACTGCCCTTTTATTCCATGTATGAAGGCAAGGCAGGCCATCTGACCTGCCGTCGTATGGTCACAGCGTGTGAGTAGCAAGTAACGGTGCTTTGCGATACACAGCCAAGAACACGTGTGAGCTGCTTTTCAACACGCACGACACGGACACCGAGGAGAGGCGTACGCGCCACGAGTGATCGTTTCAGAAGTGCTGCAACACACGATACTTTCCACTGAAAATCACCTTGCGGGAGACGTCCCTCCCTCTGATCAGGGAGGCCGTTCGTTAAGATCGTTCTGTGGGACTGGCACCACATGCCTCGTGCCCCTCTGCCTGCACAGTGCGACCTGCAGGAGGATCCAGGCCCTTAGCACAGCAGCTTCTGGAAGATGGCTAGGGAGATGGATGGAAGCAGTAGGAGCCCCCTCAATACTCACGGCTCTCAAAACATGGACGGTGACTGTGGTTCCAAGGCCTGTCTGAGGTTATCTGGCCAGTAAATTGAGGTCCAAATATGGGGCGACTTCTAAATGCTGTCCCAGGCTTGTAGTGTAATTGGAAACAGACCTACTCTTCGGTCTGTCCAGTGAGTTACTGCTGTTCAGGCATGATTTACAGGAACGTGTGAGATCTCTCACACCAGGCTAGATACGCCTTGAGTGAAAGCACATTGTGCCAGTGGCCTCGTTTTACTGCCCCTGTGCAGTCTGTAAACACAGGCTCTTCCTCTGCGTCATCTCAGCCCCCGTCTTCCTCACTTACATCCATCAAATCCGTCCATCCATCCGGCAGCCTCTCCTCCAGGTCAGGGTCATGCACTGGGAACACGGCAGGAGTCCAGCCTGGATGGGTTTGCCAGTTCATCGCAGGACACACACACTACTTGGAATTCAGAGACACCATTTAGTGCCCAAAGACATATTGTTACACAAGCGGGAAACTGGAATCCATCCTGCAAATGACACCATGACAAACACCCGGACTGTTTTAACTCACAAACCTTCTACATTGTAGGTAATTGTTCTGCATTAAATGATTTTTTCCAATATTTCCTGCATTAGCAGCAATACCTTTGAAAATAATTTATTGGCATTTGCTTCCCTTCTTTCCTTACAAAGAAGCTAAATGACTTCCGAGTTACTGGTCTTTGCTTGTAGTCCCAGTATGGACATCAGCCAAAGCAGGCGTGATCTTCCCTGAGGACTGACATCGCGCTACGCGACAGCAAACCTTTGGCCGCAACTGGCAGTCAAAGCTACTTACTCCTGCTTTTCTTGACACACCCTGAACTGGTAGCACCTGCACCAGCCTTAGCATCCCGGTCACCTCCTCCTTCCCACAATCCTCCCCCCACTGATCCTGGCTGTGCTCCTCCCCGGCAGATTTCAGTGGTAATACTTTATTTGAGACCATGTTTTAAGTAATTTATAAACACATTCGTAACAAATAATAATGCATTCATAAAGCATTATAAAAATGGCTATAAATATTTGTCAGAAAGCATAACACATTATAAACCACGTTTATTATGCATTATGAATGCTTTATGAAGCATGCATTATAATCGTCGGTATAAGCATTAAGGATGCTTTGTACTGCACTATAAAGTTATCTATAGTGCATTATAGATGAGAGCTTCGTGAGGCAGTCATAATGCAGAATAATCATGGGTATAATGTATAATGCCTTTTCAGAGATCTTCATAGCTGTGTTTATAAAGCTTTATGAATGCATTGTAATGCATTAAGAATGTGTTTATTAATTACTAAACATGGCCTTAAATAAATTGTTACCATTTCAGTTAACTGAGGTAAAGTCGTGAAGCATTTTAACAAAATGACCTCTAAGTGTTCAGGTCTTGGTCTTGGCAGAGCTAAGTGATCATCACATTACAATCAAGAGAGTGCTGCTTCAGTCCCCCGCCCCGAGCGATGATTCAAATCAGTGTCCGGTACGGAGGCACGGAAAATCTGCCTCACCCTCGCTCTCGTCCCCGATGTGTCCCGCTGATGTCATTTCAGTATTTAGTTCACAGCAGGTTCAGTTCCACCTGCCCGTTTCCACTTGGTGACCCAATTTAACTACGGTGCCAGCGGCCAGCTATGTATGTGTAAGTGACAGTTGTCCCCGCCTCTGCCGCAGTGACACACTTCAAGCTGCGGCAGCGGGCATGGCACGTGTACGGTGAGGCGGCGCGGGTGCTGCGGTTCCGGGATGTGTGCCAGTCGGCGCCGGATGGAGCCATCGCACAGCTGGGTCTCCTGATGCAGCAGAGCCACACCAGCTGCCGGAACCAGTACGAGTGCAGCTGCGAGGAGCTGGACCAGCTGGTGGACATATGCCTGTGAGTCAGTGCCGTCTGGCATCGCGACGACCAGCCTCCGGCGGGCCTGTCTGCAAAATGGCGACAGGAGGAGATGACGGCTTTGATACGAAGCGGCGTTAGGTCATGATGAGCAATCTAATGACGCAATTTTTTCCCGCGTTGGCAAAATGAAAGAGCGCAGGACTTGCGACTCCGTGTAAACTAGTGCTGGGGCACATGTGCCTGCACGGTGTTTTGTTGTCATGGTGTCGGCTTTTCGCGAGGCTTCGAATGAAAGACGCTGTCCCTTTAGAGCAACGGAGTCATTTTTTCCAACCTAATGCCATCTCCCCTGGGGCGCTGGCCCGTGGGGGGGATTGTCTCCTGCGTATGGTGTCTGTTGCGGCCTCCCTGAGACACCTCCCGACCTCGGAACCCACCATGTGGGGCACAGATCGAGACTGAGCACGGGGCTGCCTGCTTTTTAACGACAGATATCACATCATGCCTCTCTCTGTTTCCTCTTGCACAGGAAGCCGCAAAAGGGAGGCTGTCATCTCCTGACCCGTCACCTAGGTCAAGCTCAGCTCCCTAAAGAATAGACAGCAGAAAATAATTATTATTAAGACAGAAAACAGCGCAGCCAGTGTGCCGTTAGAGTGGGTCACCCCCATGCCCTGACGTAGCCTGAGAGGAAGGGCATGTTCCTGAAGGTCACCCCTATCTCTCCCACAGACGGGCGGGAGCTGCGGGGGCACGGCTGACCGGTGCAGGCTGGGGGGGCTGCGTGGTCTCCATGGTCCCTGCTGAGAAGCTGGGGGCATTCCTGCAGGAAGTGAGCAAGTCCTTCTTCGAGCCGGACGCCCGCCGAGCGGCCCTGGAGAAGCAGAGCCTTTTCGTCACCAAGCCTGGGGGGGGCGCCGCGGTCGTCCTGGAAGCCTTTCCTTAAGTGAAGGTCGTGGGGTCGGTGACACTGGTCTACAGGCTGATGGCGGCGGATTCCTGCGGGGATCTCCAATTTAATCAGCAGCCACCATCTGTTACTCATTCACAGCCCTGTTGCAGATCATTTGTGATTACTGATAATAAAGGAACATTTAACGAGATTGATTTAGATTAACATACAATCTTTAATTTGGTGATTTGTTAGGAATGAGCCAATCCAAGGTGCTGGGGGTAAAACTTTATAACTAAACAGTGTCTTCATGCGTACCTGTTAAATCATATTTCGTAACATGTTATGTTTAATTTTAATTTTTCTTAAATGATATTTGTATTTCTAATGTCCAACAATTCCTTCAGGTGCCAGGGTCATGATAGGAGCCTGTCCCAAACAGCAAAGGGCACAAGGCCGGGGTACACCCTGGTCAATCACGGGGCACATACACAGTCATATGTTATAGATACCAGTTAGCCAGACTGAATGTCTCTGGACTGTGGGAGCAAACCAGAATATCCAGAGGAAAGCAAAAAAATAATAATAAAGCATAATAATTGCAAACTGTATTACTAATATGATGTTTTTGTCCAATTTTGTCTTGAATCTATTTTTTGCATGGACTGTTTGACTAAAGCGACGCCTTTTGACTGCTGATATGGTGATATAGCAGTTACAGTGATCTCACTCTTGAATAGCCTACCCATGCTACAGTATAATGGTAAGTAATGGTAAAACCAGCCAATCAGAATGTGCGACATGAGGGTTGGGAACATCACAGGGTATTTTGGATTTTCTGTAGAAGCCGCTAAGATGGCGTTTTTTATTGGCCCATCAGAGGCTTGCCCGGCCATTGGTGACATCGCTTTAGCATCGTGGGGGCGGTCGTAGCGAATTTTGGAAAACTGGTTGAGGTGTCGTGATACAGACTGTCATTAGTGATTTGATCATCATACCATTAAGGTTTACAGAGAGGTTGGACAATGAAACTGAAACACTGGCCAAACTGGTGTTTTCACGCCTATATATGTGCGGCCTGGTGGCCAATCTTCACTGACTGCATATTCTTTCAGTAACAGCAGAGTGTGAAGGTTGAATTAGCAGAGCAATAGCACAGCTGTACATAAAATACTGCAATATGCACAACATACTGTAATGGGAGACATATCAGGGCTCAAAAGAGGACAGATTGTTGGTGTGCATCTTGCTGGTGCATCTGTGACCAGGACAGCAAATCGTTGTGGTGTATCGAGAGACAGTATCCTGGGTAATGTTGGCATACCACCATGAAGGACGGACCACATCCAACAGGAGTAACTGTGGACCCAAGAGGAAGCAGATTGAATCCGAAAAACATAAAACCACAGCAGCCCGACTCACTGCAGAATTAAATATGCACATCAACTCCACAGGATCAATAGCCAGAGGGCTGTTACAGCCAAACCTTTGGTCACTCATGCCAATAGCAAACGTCAGTTTCAATGGTGCCAGCAGTGCAAATCTTGGACAATATGAAATGTTCTTTGTTGAGTCCACCTTCACTGTCTTACCCACATCTGCGAGTTACAATGTGGAAAAGCCCTAAAGAAGCTTACCACCTGGACTGCTGAGTACCCAGAGTGCAGCAGGGAGGTGGATCAGTGATGGTTTGGGCTGCAATATCATGGCATTCCCTAGTCCTACTTGTTCTAGATGGGCACGTCACTGCCAAGGACTACCAAACCATTCTGGAGGACCATGTTCACCCAGTGGTTCAAACGTTGCACCCTGAAGGTGGTGCTGTGTGTCAGGATGATAATGCACCAACATACCCAGCAAGACTGGTGACTGAGTGGTTTGAAGAACATGAAAGTGAAATTGAACATCTCCCATGACCTGCACAGTCACCTGATCTGAATATTATCGTGCCACTTTGGGGTATTTTGGAGGAGTGAGTCAGGAAACGTTTTCCTCCACCAGCATCACGTCGTGACCTGGCCAATGTTCTGCAAGAGGAATGGCCCAGAATCCCTCTGGCCACTGAGCAGGACCTGTATCTGTCATTCCCAAGACGAACTGATACTCTTTTGGCCACAATAGGTGGCCCTACACTATACTAATAAATTATTACAGTTTCAGTTTCATTGTTCAAACCCTGTATATATATTTGTTGTGGGGGGGGGGGTGGAATTGAAGGACCATTGAAGGGCATGGTTCAGCGCTGATATAGCATGATAAAAAATTCAGCATGTTATTAAGATGGAGCAGTGGAGGAAGCGGTTAACTAGTATTTGGGTTAGTTAGATTATCGCACAGCTCTTGATATGGGGACATTCCCTGAAGGAACAGAGTGCAGACACACAAAATGCTTTCTGGACACAGTTGAGTATCTGTGGGTAAAATGCGGCATCAGTCTGTATGGAAAAGTCTCACATCTACACGGTAACAACCTGCACAGCAGTATTCACAGCAGGCCACCCTCCCTGCCATCATCTGGAAGCATTTTGGAACATAGGAACATGATGGTCACAGCAAGGACCGAAGCAGCACCTCCACTGGGAGGAAAGCTCTCACAAGAGACGACGTGCTTATCTTGCTTTGGTTATCAGGTTATCTCTCTAACAGCGGCCGCCTGGAAGCAATTGCGCTTTAAGAGAAGACCTAAATATCCAGAGTCATTAGCCTGTCGTGTAAATGATCATTTACAGGCCAATATAATCCTGATGGAATCAGACGACGAGCTTCCTCTTCGTTACAGCGGTCATGCTGTTTAAGAGTGAGGAATCCCCGCTCCATTTCTTCACGCGAGAAACATATCTTGCGATCTTGACGTGTGCCCCACAGAGTTCATACATGCAGGACCTGAGTCACAGGGCCATAAGCTATGTGTCTCGAAACATCTACAGACAAGCTCTGGGTTGCAGGCTCCTAGATCCGCTTGGTCTGATTTGTGAAAGAGCCTGGACACCCAGTGAACCAAGAGGATTTTTGGATCGTGGAATGTGATTTTTGGACGCTCTGGGCAACCTCAGATTCTGGGCATAACCAAACGCCACGAGGCGTTTTACGGCTGCCCCGCAGCAGAGTACAGACCATTGTGATTTGGTTATCCAGAAATCCCATGGTGTTGTAAGGTTAAGCTGCTCACCAGGAGTGAACTGAAATCTTGGGAGGGGGAAAACCCACAGTGAAATAAAGCAATCACAGCCAAAGACGCACACTCAGATACAGCCCCCACCCCTGCAGCAAGCCGAACAATCCTCCGTTACCTGTAGTCACAGGCTCCACAAAGCAGTGTATGTGGACAGTGACCTTGCCTTCACAAACAATACCCAAGGTGCATGTGAAAGACTCAACCATGGAGGAGCTGAAACACATGTGTGCCGTGACGAGAAGCTCCATGTCTGCCCTCCATGCAGACGGCTGACCCTGCCTGTCCCATCTTTCCCCGTGGCTTTGCGCTTTTCTACACTGATATCCATCAGGTAATCATTATACCGACCGTGGGTAATAGGAAGAACTGTGACTCACTGAGCAATAAAATATGAAATTCAATGATCCCTGTAAAAAAACATCTAGATTATTTAATTATCAGATGTTATTTGTTAGCTGATTTGCCAAGTTTTCTAATACAATAGAATACCCAGATGAATATAGTTCAAAGTTTTATTTGTCACATGCAGTCGTACTCGTAGAAAAATAGCACAGCAGTACAAAGGGGGGGGGGGGTTGGAGAAGCCCATCCAGATGACATTACTGGTTATTTTTAAAGAACTTGCTTTCTAATGCCCCTTAAGATCCTGCACAAGAGTGGAGAGCTGGTTTTAGTAACAGCAGCTGAGGCCTCAATCCCCCACAGATGTCCGCCTATCGTCTGGCCTATGGTGACGCTACGGAGCCCACATACAGCACCGTGTAGAAGTCTGAGGCCGTCGAGGAAAATGTTTCATGCAATTTATCTGGGTGGCAAGTCTATTTGCAAAACATACAATTTAACATCACAACACACACAAAAGAACACTAGCACAAGAAAAGAGTAAGAAGAATTTCTTATGTTCTCCAAAAATGTAATGTTGTCTTCCACAAGCACTGCACTGGGGTTCCCTACCCCTCTCCTCAGGGGCACGCCAGCCATTCCATGTGCTTGTATTTCACCTCCAGCTGACATTAGTAATTAACTTAATTAGTGACATAATTTGTTGAGGTATTATTTAGCCCAACATGGTGTGCTAGTGGTCACGTCAAATACATGAGTGTATGCATGTTACCGCAAATACCGGTGGGATCTTAGGAGAGGTTTTGAAATGGCTAAGCTGGCACACTTTGACATACATAAAATCAACACAAGGATCATTTGAACATCATTTGACTGCCTAAGGCTTTCGCACAGTACTGTACATCTGCAAGCAGGCCACTGTTCCATCCTCCTCAGTTTAAATACGGTTTGCCTCGGAAGGCTTCCTGTTTCTCAATTCTGATTACCGTAGGAAGAGACAGGAATCCTACACCAACAATGCCAGTGATAGCAAAACAGCTACTCCAATTTCCTTTTCAGGTGATTCAGGGACATGGATAATCTTGCCACATTTAACAGCTGTATATTCACTGAAGCTTGTCCCGTTAAGTGCTTTGAGGAACATGCCAACAGTTCTTCTCCCAAGACTCAGATGTGATTGAAGATTCCTCAGGATTCCCTATCAGGATATTCTAGACAGCGGACTTGGTGGATTGATGGATTAGTGTGGGCGAGGGAGGGGAACTCGCTCTCAAGCCTTCGGATTAGGCTCCGCTGAGAGTTATGCATCCCTGAGGGTCCGTCTCCTTTCAACACACATGCTGAAGTTTTCTTTTTCATGATTTACACTGTTTTTTCATTACCCGGTCAAGGATCACTCATGTGAAAATGAGAGTTGACCAGTCTGAGCCAAATCCTTATTCATCTTCATTATAATGAAAACCCTACTTTTCTTAAGAAATACGTCAACAAAACACAAGGTTACCGATGCAATTTGGTCCTTGTTCCCGAATGTTGTGTCAGTCCTCTCTTGTTAGGTTACGGTCTCCCGGGTAACACAAGCGATAATCAATTTAATTTTTAGGGCAAAACCAAAATCAAACAGGCAGGATACAAGTACCACAGCATCTAGGATGCCTGCGAATGGCTAGGGTCCGTACAGAAGGCAGAGTGTGACTCCATTTGGGATTTAATGAAATGTCTTTTCGAATAATGTGCTATTGCACGATCCCAACATTCTGAGAAAAAACATCAGGGCAAATAATTCATTTCCATTAGCTTAGTTGGGGAAATTAATATCAGGAACACCTAATGAGTTACCGACACTGAAGTATCAACACTGGAGGAGAATCACCAAGCAGTCAGAGATCCAGCACGCGTCCCCTGTCACGGGCCAGGAAAGGAGAGAGGCACGCAATATATGGCTTTCCTTGCATGCAACCTGCTAGTGTGACAGCTTAGAAAAACATATTTTTTTATTCTTTTAATTTTAAGCAGCATATGAACTTGTAAAAATCAGGATGGTTCAGGAAATCAAATAATGTTTGGGTTAGGGTTGGTCTAGCAGGCCACGGCAGGGTCTGCGGCGGACAAACGCGACGGTCCCTGAAAGCCGTCCCTGGCTGTCACTCGACACCCCTTTCCTACTGGTAAGCTGACACTGCGGCCATCTTCTGTTACCCTAACAGTGCCTTTTTTAATGACCCAGTCAGAGCAGCTTCAAAGGCCTTTGCCGCTCTGAGGCAAGGAGTCAGCAGCCCCACACGACAGAGTCAGGGCCGTTTGAAGTGTGCCTCTCGCCCGGATCCCCCGGCTAGGAAGGAAGTGGCCTATCAGTTCCCCCATTGCTGTGCCCCCATTACTGACAGTGAATTGAGGGGGGGTGTGAAATACTCTCAGCTTTGATTCAACTTTTCACAATCTGGATCCATTATTAGCTGTTATTGCTTCCATTCTGTGTGGACATCTCCTTGTTTCCTCTGGGTACTCCGGTTTCCTCCCACAGTCAGGATAACTGGTGTCTCTAAATTATCCGTAATATGTGTGTGTGTGTGTGTGTGTGTGTGTGCCCTGTGATGGACGGGCATCCCATCCAGGGTGTACCCTAGTCTTGAGCCTGCGCTGTGGCGGATGGGCTCCAGGCTTCAGGCCCCCCCCACATCCCTGTACCGCACAGGAAGTTAGGAGACAGATGGGTCGACCGTGGCTGTTATTCAGAGACAGTTCTGGGCTTTTCTCCTGGGCCTGCACCCATGCGGCCACAAATACAGGTATTTAACCGCTCTGCCACCTGCTGGCAGAGGCAGGACACGACTCTGTGCCCTTTGGATTTAGAGCATTGCCATTCTGCTTGATACTTTGATCTTCGCTACTTGATATGTTGTTTTAGGGAAGAGGGGTCAGCGCTCGTCTCACCTCTCGTGAAAGAACACTGACCCCTCCAGTCTCACCAGGGGCATGAATCGGGAAGCCGGACTATGTTATAGTAAATACATTTGGACACGTCTGTCCCAGCAAAACAGGCATTAGGGAGACCCCAAGCAAATGTAAGACAGACGTGCCTGACTGGCAATAGACGTTGTGTTTTTGTTTTTTGACTGAAATAATTTGTCAATTCAGGGTATGCAGGTACTAAATTTAATTCTGCTAACAAGTTCGCTAAAAACCACACAGTCTTGAGCATAACCCTTTTCAAAATAATACTAATGCCAGTAGCTGTCAGTGTGGTAAGAGACAAACTACCCTAAACTGTTTGCTGCTAAGATCCATGTCAAATATTACTGAATTGCACTGCAAATGAATCTCTTTTCACCATAAGTACCGGTGTAAATCACAATGTAAAAAGAACCACAGTTACACAAGGCAGCACGCAATTCTAAAGATTCCAAACATTCATTATAAACCTACCCAAATATGTTTTTTGAATAGAAGCTTTTGATCTTTTAAACAGCTCTTATTCATGCATATGTATGACCGTTCATTAAACCTGCAACCGGTTTCAGGTAACCAAACACTAGTTAAGCCAAAAGTTTCTCTGCACTGTGAAAATGTAGTTTCCTGGAAAGTCAACTCAAGGAAACTCTTAATTCAACATATTTGTTACTTTCTCTTTGAGTGAAAATCTGATTGATAATCTTTTGCAGAAATTAAAGCCACATAGTAAAGAGGATCTCAGATTCCAGACAGTAACTTTCAACACTGTTGACAATATGACACATTTCGAAATGGCTCTGGATTCTAGCTAAGATCACATCCCATAAAAGTCATATTGCTACACTGCTGTAGTAACTACAGCAGTGTACTACAGCAGATTTTCAAATGTCTTTTTCTAAGATTACGAATCATGGCATCTCTGGGAACGGTCCAGGTAATATTATATGTTAGCTCAGATATGCAAGAATATATCAGACCACAAGAAAGCATGGAACTGGCAAGTGGAATATATCGCCGGACTGCAGTAGGCAAACAACAGAATAAAAATACCCAAGACACAAATAACTGTGATAGATGCCCTAAGTTCTATTTCCTCATAGAACGAGCCGTCACACGGTCATCTCAGACCTGTGCAGGATTCTACTTGTGTGCAAAAAATTGCAACCCTTTTTGTTCTTCCACTCACACCAGTAATTTCCAGGAACGAATATATAACAGAATTTAAATAAATGACACCTCTGTCTAAATATTTACTGTATCGGCAATAACTGTATAAGTTAAAATAGCACGTGCACATTCTCAGGTGAGTTCATGGTCTGTCCACCCTGCAGATTCAGCAGGGAAACAAGGTTCAGACCAAGGCTCTGGTCTGTCAGGAACCTGCAACTTCATGTCATTTTTCCTCACAACATTGTGTGTGAATGATGCAGCGAGGGCGTTTCTCTCCACAACGGAAGGAAGCCCCCTCGGAACAGGGGCTGCTGAACATGACCAGCATCACTCCGGGCAACTTTTTCAGTCTCAGACAAACTCTTTTTATAGCTAAACTGTAAACTGTCAGCCGTTTCAGTCTCTGTGATCTGCTTGTAAAACATCATTTGTTGTTCATTTTTCAATGAACAACACGCAGGTAAGTTCCTACAACTTCCCCCCCCACCCCCGGCCACCAATAACTTCATGGGACTCGAAGCTTCTTTGCAGGAGCCCGTCTGCGGAGCTGACAGATGTGCTGATGTGTCGAGGGATCCTCTCCTGGCCCTTTGTGCTCACTCACAATGCGGAGGCAGCCAGCAGAGCGATCCTGGGCAGTGCCGAGGACAGACGCGGCCACTCCTCCTCCCAGCAGCTCTGGACAGCCCCGGGGGGGGGGGGGGGGGGTCCTGCAGGGGAGGGTTTCTCCCTGACTGGCTGAGACGTAATTGCTCAGTAGTGAGGTCAGAGGGGAAGCTCCCCCATCTGGACACACCCAGCATCGCCGGGGCCAAGAGAGTCTCTCCACACTGACGCAGACAAGCCTTCACACTCAGCCTGCCCTGCCTCACTTCACACTCCCTCCACGGGGCTGTCCTGCACGGGGGGAGGGAGGCGCACATCACCCAGGCGTGCTCACCAGCACACCCGCGGGGAGCTTGCTGTCACTCTGCCACACGGGGTCGCCCTAGCCGACATGTGGCTCTCATCTGAAAAGTAGACGCAGCCAGCTGGGATGAGAGTGTAGCGTCTGACAGGGAGGGAGGTCAGTGCCGGACTTCTGTGGGCTGGGAGAAGAGTAACGTTGGAGTCGTCGCCAAATTAGCTGTCCTTACAAAACACGAGTGTAAGGTGAGTGGATCCGAATTGAATTCAAACACGGATATTTCATTCTGCATCCAACAATTTGTTGCTCATATCTGTCCGTGAAATTTATGAGCGTGGGAGGCTTGATTGTGGGGTACTGAGTAGCAGAGGGCGGTTAAGAACTCAGTCCAGTGAAGGTTACTAGGGTTAGGGTTACTAGTTAGAGGGGTTAAGAACTCAGCAAAGGTTACACTCTGAGGTACCAGTTAGTTCACTTACTTTGCTCTCGTCAGGTAGCCGGGGGGCGGGGGTGTCATTAAAAAATTTAAAAATGGCATGACGTCCTCTGATGGTCCAAGGTCTTGATAAAGCCCCACAGTGACTCGTTTCTTCTTCACTCTCCTCCTGCTGCCTGGAAGTTAGGAATCCCTGAGGAGCACCTCCTTCGCAGGAGGAGCAGGACTGGACGCCGCGGCACGCCGGCTCTCCTGGGAACTCCTCTGCTGCCGCCGCTTTGCGCCGAGGAGCCTCGGTGATCACGAGCAGGAGGCCTGGGGCTCCGTGCCGGCTTCCAGCATGCGGCCCGGCCGCCCGCGTGCAGGATAATGCGCGGATGGCTTAGCGCATGGAAAGGGAACTTGCCCAGCGTGCTGTCTGGCCTGTACGTGCAGTTCGTCCTGCTGCTGGGCAGCGTGGGGCTGGCCAGCACAGAGAGGACCTCCGTGGAGTTGGCCACCATCATGAACTGCTCGCAACACGAGCGTCACACCGGGAACTACGATTACATGGAGGGGGGCGATGTACGGGTCAGACAGCTCTTCAGCCGGACACAGTGGTTCCTCACGGTGGACGACACTGGCAGAATTGGCGGCACACAGGACCCCACCAACTGCTACAGTGAGTACTCCCTTTGCAGGCCGGACTCGTTCACAACTCGCTCGCTCAGCTCTGTGCTTAAGGCTTTGCGTGCATATGCTCCCGTAGCAACTTCAGACTGCTTATATGAGCAAATCTCGCCCATGTGTCGTGCTTTGGCTGAAATAATTGGCTCATTTTCCCTCTATAATGCATTCTAGGAAATTAATAATGTTTCACTCCGTGAGATCAGACCGAATTAAGTGCGGCTTTGGTTTAATTCACTCTCACTGTACTTGCTGAGTACTCTCGGTCTCCCTCACTCAATCGTTCCACGTGCTCTGAGGCTGTCAGTCAAGAGTGTCATTTAAAAAAAAAAAAAAACTCTGGAACTCTGGGAAAAACAATGCATGGAGACGCTGTCTCTGCTACGGTGTCTCTCAGCTTTGTTGTTGTTGTGCAACGCTCCAAAAACACATAGTGAATGGGGCTCCCATCAGCTTTAAGAAAAACCGTGTGTGCATCATGACAACAGTAAGGAGAAACAGGTGTCCTGCTGGCTGCAGATAATTCATCTGCAACATAAACAAAGGCCCAAAATAAACAGAGTGGCAGTCCGCGTTAAGATATGACTTCAAGTCTATTTTTGTTTGCATCTGAAACAAAAAACGGAAAAAGAATAATTTATAAATGCGTGGTTTCAGGGAAAATCATAGTCACCGTGAGAGCACACCTCTGGAAGGTCATCCGTTTCCATGGAAACAGTGTTTTACACTCCCAGCCGTCGACCTAATTATTTACGCTGACGTGCTATCTGGACGCTGTCTTAAACACCTTGAAAGCCGGGCACCTGCTATTTCTGAAAAGTTACAGCAGCAGTGGTGGGGGGGGGGAAGTTCGGCATTAGGTCCTGTAACCACATCAAGATGTTAAACACTGGCACGGTGTTTATCTCCTCGCCTGGGGAGGAGGACCTCCCTGAAATATCATGTGGTCACTGTGAAATATCAGCACGCAGGAGATAAATGGTGTGATCAAAAATGGAGGGGGGGGGGAGCAGCGCTCTCCCAGTAGGTTACCTTTACAATACTAACAGCTCCAGATTACTGCAGTTCGATTTAGTGAAGATCTAAGCGACCTGCTGTTGAACCCTTAGGAACGGCATTAGCCTGGTCAGTGGAAAAGGCCGATCGCCGTGCAAATGACCTTAGCATCCGGTCAGCAGTGATAATGGGGGTGACGCCGCTGAGAGTGAGCTGTCAGGAACGCTGGCGTGAGAGCCAGGTGTCTGCTCGGCAAAATTTTAAAAAAAGAGGCTTGCGTAAGACCTGGCAAGGAGACAAGAGATCCGATATGGCCAGATGTGAGCTGCCGGGCACGGACACACGTGACTAAGACGGCGAGCCCTTCGGAAATCTTGCGGAAAATCTGCTTCATGAATCTTTTCTATCATCCCATTATCAGTAAGTTCAGATCCCGCGAGTGTTCTGATCCAGAGCCTATGGTAAGAAGCTCGGGGTATTCGACACGTTACGCCCCATCAGGGCACCCCTGCGGACAGTGAGAGGCTGCCGCCCACCTGTACGGCAGGTCTTTGGGGCCACGGGGGTTAAAAAGCTGGTGCAGCCAGGGGAGGGCTGGCGCAAAGGCCCAGAGCCGCACAGAGCTGCAGGCCAGTGAGATGGCCTGCCATGTCAGAGTGGGCTCTTCTCCCCAAAGCTTAACGATTAAAGAAGAAATGTGCCGCTTTGTATTTTACTGCAGTTGTAAGAGGTTCAGCTCGCTCCCCACGCGCCACGTTCAACCTCCACCCCCTCCACTCCCCAAGGGGTGGCCCCTCGTAGTGTGACAGGGTGAAACCCGTAGCATAGAACCAGACAATGCAGAAGGATGACAAAAGGGACCGGGGCTGCCCCCCCCCCCCAAGCACCCCTCAGACCTGAACCCATTCCCTCTCCCACATCATTACCGGGGCCCATGCACCTACTGGAAACCTTTCACTGCGTATGTGTGTGACACGCTGGCCTGGGGGCAGGCCTCTCCCATGTCCCTCCCCCTCCAAGGACTACAGGTCTATAAAACAGGATGAGGGAGGCTTAATGACTAATGTCCCGCATCTATGGTACAGACTTGGGCAGGAGGACATGTTCAGAGCAGATCAAAAAACTATTTTGACATTAAAATAAAGACAGAAACTAAACAGGAAACAAAGCTGTCCAGCCTCCCTAACTTTCCAGGGAGACGAGCCTCACAGACCCACCCTAAACACGGATCCAGCCAGTCTCCCTAACTTTCCAGGGAGACGAGCCTCACAGACCCACCCTAAACACGGATCCAGCCAGTCCCCCTAACTTTCCAGGGAGACGAGCCTCGCAGACCCACCCTAAACACGGATCCAGCCAGTCCCCCTAACTTTCCAGGGAGACGAGCCTCACAGACCCACCCTAAACACGGATCCAGGGCACAAAGGCAGACGTTCCTGTGGCTCCTTGGCTGATAGGCAACTCAAGGATTTTCTCGGGGGGGGGGGGGGGGGGGGGGGGGGGTGAGACAGCCAAACGAGTCATGCAGTCATTCATTCGCTTAAATAAATTTGTTAAAAATATGGTACATACACTGACAATAAATTATCATTACACATCGATATGACTAACAATAAATATGACTAATAACTAAATACAGCTTTATTTAATTTCATTGAACTTAATATGTTCAAATCTCATTTTCATCTAACCAGTAGGTGGTCTTTGCACCTCTGCACTTCCCGTAAATTTTCCTATGCCTTGGCTGCTAGAATCATCAGCTGCCCCCGGCACCGATTGGGACTAAGACATGCTGTTCTGTGGGGGAGGGGGTTCTGCGGCCTGCATCAGCCTGGCCAGCGTCTGGGCCGCACATACGATGGGCAGAGCTTCTGCGCACGGGCTGACGTAATGCTGGGAGAAACAGGCCGTCACTGAGTGTCGTCACAGACCAGCTGGGTATCGCGTTTCCCGTCCCATAACCCCCAGCATGACAGCATAAGCTCCTTGCGTGCTGAGTCTTCAATTACAAATGATTCACGTCTTAATACCCGCAGTTGAAAAATAAATTGATAGCAGCTGCAAGAACAAATCAGGTGCCACTGTGTAATCTTAAAACTTTCCATTACTGATATGACTCCAAATAACACCATCAAACCAGGAGCTGACCTACTGTGGGATCTGAAGGCACTTTCTGAACATCTCTAAGGAGCCTTTTTGAGAGACCAAAAGGAAAACAGACCACTGCTTTCAATTTGTGAAAAAAAAATTGTCGTGAGGCCTCTCTGGCTGCCTGTCCGGGGACATCGGTCAGCACGGCCCGTGAATAGCCAGGCTGCTTCATGGCCGCAGCAGATACAAGGTTACTCAGGAAGGACACTCCCTGGAGTGGATCGGCTGCCAATGCTACATGTTAAGTCATTTTAACACTGGCATGATAATCATCTTCTTCCAAGACAGAGAGATAAAGGATGTGGTATAACAACCACTCATTAAGAGGCTTTTTGATAAAAAGGATCATGTTTACAGGGATTTATGCAGAGGTAAACTTTAAGGCCTCTTTTTCTATGCACAAATCCCTTTCCTTTACAAAGCTGTCACAACAAATGTGTACAAATGTGGCCTAATTGAGAGCGCCGTAATCATATAGGTCTGCACTACTAATGTATGCGCTGTACTGTATAATGCAGAAACCTTACCTCTAACTCTCCTTCAATCCTGCAAACCATTTTAGTCCGGGCTTAATGGAGTGTCTGACCATTGTTTAGGACATTTACTATCTGTTTTTTCTTGTATTTACAAATCTCACGCAATCTGATATTTCTCATATATAAATAGGCAGTAAAGCCGGTCCTTTTCACGTTCAAAGAAAACCCCTTTACCACCAGCAGTAAAACCGGCCTAGATGTTTGCTTTGAATGTTTTTCTGTGTTAACTGGATGGGCAGAAAACGCTACACTTGTTTATTTTTTATGGGAAGAATCTTCTACAATGTTCAAGCAGGGAGATCTGTAGACCAGAGCAATCTGCCCAAGGCTTCAGAATTAATGGGCTTTTCCCATCGTGCCTCCTTCTGCCAGATCTCGACGCCGCCTACACTCACCGCCAAATTAAACATACACCTCCGTGTCCGAGGAGGAACGTGGGCAGCAGGGAGACTATCTGTAGATATGCAAGAATAATTACCCTTAGAAATGAAAGGTTACCAAACGCCTGCATTGGGCGAATGGAATATGAACTTCATTTCATATTTGAATAGTAGCCAAACAGCTTAGAAATTAAAACCATACGTAAGTGTTCAAAAAAACTGTACGTTTAAACTTCAAAAGATTCGAAAGATTTGGGGAACACAAATCCTGTAAACACAGTGTGTAGAACAAAAACTGTGGGGTGATGTCATGCCCATTTTTCTAAGACAGTAAATAGTCAAATTAAAATGAGGGGTTCTTTCCTGATTATTTTATATATATAATTCACTGAAGCTTCTTCGTCCAATGGGTAGCAATCAAAAGCATGCACCTAAGTGACATGTTATTCCAAGACAGGACTGTGCTGTTGTACCCTTGAGTCAGGGAACTGGAACAGATTCTGCATGATATCCAGCTGTGTAAACACTGCAAACTCTGTAAACAAAAATTCCTGTATTTGTGCAGCCAGCACATGACAACACATTTAATCATGGCCATTTAGGTATTTGAACTGCTTTATAAGAGAATTACAGATTTACACTTAAAAGCAAGATTGTCAGTAAAAAAGCACATCATTATGATTACTGACTACTTAACCTCGCTTATTCCGAGTTCAGCATTTTTTTAGACGAGATAAAGTCGGAGACGAACCGTAATGAAGAGTTACATTCGGGTGGGTGGTTGTCTCATAGATCTCCATAAAATGGAGGCGTTCGGCGGAAAGAGAATACTGGCTTTTAAGAGAATGTTTTTAATCCCGTATGATAACGGCAGGGTTGGGGTTTGAGATGACCATGAGAACAAGCGCACTGGCGAAAGGGGTCCACGTCGGAGACGTTGAGGAGAGAGATGAGCAATGTTTGCTCTCCAGATGAGCATGATAAGAGGGGAGCTGAGGGAGGGGGGCAATTTATGACCAGCATGATTTATGATGGGGTTGTTAAGGTGGAATGTTGCACAAGTGATTATTTCACCCCACAACTTTCCCAAAGACGCAGTACGCAGTAAAGACACAGCACGCACCATGGTCTTCAACGCCTTGCTAAGGAAGTTATTTTCGCTGTTTTATTGCTTTGTTTTCCAGTATTGCTCTGGGGTAATTATGCTGAGGTCTTGAAGCTGGTTGGTGACTCTACCCATGATTGCAGCTGTCATTTCTAACAAGCACAGTGTCACTTCACACATCATAAGTAATCCCCAACACTTCCCGGAATCCTGTCTGTTTGAACACCTGTTCGTCCGAAGCACAACAACCCCTGGGTCTTAAGAAAAACTACTGATGACCTGCGACACCACGCTCAGCGTAGTTTTCGGGGTGTCGGAGGAGGGATGGGCTCCTCCAAGCCTTTGATCGGCCTACTTCACATGTGTTTTCCCGAGAGTCCGACAGCTGACCAAAGTCAGGCCTCTGGGTTTTGGAGCCTCATCCCCCGCTACATTCTGAGGGCTGGCTTATGTGCTTGCAGGTATTCTCGAAATTCGGACCGTCTCGGAGGGCGGGGTGCTGGCCATCAAGGGGGTGAAAAGCCAGTACTACATATCCATGAGCCACTCCGGAGTGCTGCAGGGCAAGGTAAGCCAGCATGTCCAACACAAAGCCCTGCGTATGCATCATCACAGCACATCACTGAATGCTAAGTTCACACTACGTTGTTACTGGTGTTAGATCGCTATACTGTTTGCACTTCACAAGTTGTTATCTTGTAATCGGGAGTCTTGAAGTCATCGTAGTTATATACGCTACATGATTGGTCAATGACAGGAGGTCACACACTACAAGGTCTTTCACCAGGGGGAATCTCGATTAGTCTGTGTGGTCTCCAAACTGCGTTTTGTCATAAAAACACACGCAAGAGGTGACACAGCAAAATGACAGTATGTAGCACAGTGTCAACGCACTATAAATTGTTAAAACACTTTAATTAAATGGTAACATATGATCTACATTTACAAATGTGCGACATATCAACCCATGTACATGCTTCAGGAAACGCTATTATATATCTTGGGTCTTTAGTGACCCAGCATGTATATGTAATGTATTATATATCAAGCCACAAATAACCGTGATCATAATCTTTTATTGAATACCTCTTCCCTGAACACCTTTTTACACCTTTTTAAACACATTTCCTGTGTTTCCCCTCACCCTGGGTCACAACACTTTTCACACTACAGGATTTGGAGTTTCCAACAGGTCCAGCAGATATTTAGCCCGCTAGATATCTGACGGGCATCTGCAACTCTGTCCAGTCACGTCTTTGAACAGTTCACATATAGCAATCCAGTGCTGATTTGCTAGCGGGGATCAAACACTGTTTTGTCTCCGATCTTGGGACAAAATCGTATAGTGTGAACTTAGCATTAGTGATACACTGTCCTAAAACCCTCTAATTTCACCCTGCAGAAGATCTACAGCGAAAGCTGCAACTTCAAAGAGATTTTCCTAGAAAACTACTTCAACGCATACTCTTCAATGAAGTGGACGAGACAGAACGGTAAACAGATGTTCCTGGCACTGTCACAAAAGGGGAGGCCTCTGAAGGGCCGGAAGACACGCAAGGAGAACATCTCGTCTCATTTCATACCTTTGAAGTGCAAAGGGGAACCAATTGTGGAGTGAAGGTCTCATTCAGTCTCACTGCTGCCCCCAGAGGTAAAGAGGGGTACAGTTCTAATGGGTCCATGTTGAATGTCTTCTAAATGTCCAATGTAGTCATGGGACAGCACAAAACCACTGTCAAACAGGTAATAACATGTCTATTAATCATTATTGATACAGTAATTAACCCAGTCAAATGACTTTAAATTATTTTGTTTTTACATCGTCAGTGTGTTATTTGCATTTTTCTAATAGCTGTTTAATTTTAATGTTAAAGTGTTTGCTGCTGACCCAAGTTAAGTTTATATCCAAAATGTACTATTCATTCACTACTGTGTTACAAGGTGTTTAGTGATTAATTTAAAATAATTTACTAGCTAAAAGAGTGGTCTGTAATTCTCTGGGCATTTTGCAACTACATTTGAGGGAGTCTTGACTTCCCTAGATCCTGTTACATTAGAAAACTGTCAGGTTGTAAATAAAAGGAACAAACTGTATGGCCTGCCACTGTCACACTATGCTGGAGGTCAGATTGGGCTTTCTGCACATTTAGACATGTTAGAACCATGTTTTCTCTGAATCTCTGAAATTGTTTTCCATAATATATGTAATTGTATATATTAATGAACAACCATCGTCAATATTGTATTAATATATGTATGAAAGTGAACCTGAAGATGTTTTCTTCCCTGTACCGTTAAGTTGTGAAGCCTGGACAAACTGTTGTGAGTTTGTGAAGAGACAAGACACTGACCGCTGCTCGTTAATCAGTAAAATTACTGATTAATTATCCAGAAATTATACTCATGCTTATTTTTCAGTATCATTTTTCAAATTCTAAGAAGTCAGAGGAAAAATTCAACAGTCCAGCTTGCTGGATCCAATTAGGATGGACCCATCACAAAAAAAGGCCTGAAACTGAGAGGAAAGACCTCATTAAAACACCCCGATGTTTCAGTAGTAACAGGGTTTTAATCTGACGTGACAGAGTAGTTACAACAGGCATTAAAATGTAAACAATCCTGACTTGCATCCTCATGTGTCAGAACTATACCGGAGTAAACCAGCAATGCAGGAGTATTAAGGGGAACACAAATGCGTATTTAAATGAAGTTGGGTTATTGGTACTATCTTGAGCACAGATGCTCACAGCCAGTTCCATCTAACAGCCGGATGAAGAAACGTTGCACTAAATCTAAAGTCCTTCAAACCCTGAATCTCTACCATACTCTTTAAACTCATAACTCAGCCTCTACCCCTACAAGCTATCTATGTCATTTACATTTTTACATCCAGAATATACATTGTCCTGATGCTACTTGAAATTGGTCCAAAATTCCCCTTGTACCAGATCTTAATGGTCAACATTTCACTGGCAGTAGATTATTTGCCCATAACACTGAGTGGGGCAATTTAACAAAGCTGGTTGATGCATGAAAAATTGCATTGAACAACTGTGTATTGATCATTTTAAAAATCCCTACTTCTAACTGGAGCTCGAGACGACTAAGCCATTGAGGTGGAATCTGCAGGGTCAATGTACATGACAGGATTTTCTCAGTTACTCACTGTGATTATAATTATTTGTGATCCATCACTGTTTGATCATATTTATCCAAACTTGTGCTCTTAGAGCCATGTGTTGGTGATGACTTTCATTTTGTCAGAATGTGGTTTTGATCATATGCAAGCTGTTTCATACTATAGTCAAAACAAAAACTGGGTGGGGGGAGGCAATGATGCACTGCATTACCATGGTAACAAGGGCTCACATAGAAACACACCATGACATCTGTCACATAGACCACTGCTAAATGTGGGTACTGGTTTCAAATTACTGCCGCGTCATTATTGGCAAACTGAACCCAACCTCAGAAAGGAAGCTGTCTGAAAATGACAATAGTCTCCATTAGCACACAGACAACTAATTTCAGCATGATTTATCCATAGATGACTGCAGCTACAGAGTATGGATGGTTCACAAGTTTCATGACTCCATATATAACAGCACGGCAAAGTCACTAGAGCTTGAAGATATACTTGAACTTTCATATGCTTAAAAAAATGTATGTTGATTACATGTGTTATTTCCTTACATTACAAATAACAGAGAATCCATACAATGGAACAAATTATAAGTTTATACCAAATAGCAGTCAACCCACTGGATGGCATAGGCGGCCGCCTAGGGCGCCATCATCTGAGGGGACGCTGACCGTTGGTGTTGAGGGAACAATAATGTGAAGTGTCTGGCAGGGAGATAAGAGGGAGCAAAAATGTCTGTGGGTCCCCGAGGACCGGGTTGGGAAGCACTGGCATAGAGTATCTGGGGCAGGTGCGTAGCTAATTCTGGGCCCCCTGACAAAATCACCTTGCCCACCCCCCCAACCTCAAGGTCCACGGTAAATCATGCTGAGCAGTGTGGGGGTGTGTCCCCCCCCCCCATCAGAATTTGTTCAGCGGGGCAAATTTTCTCTGGCTGATTGTGTGTCACGCACAGTCCCATATGAGACTCCAGCACCCTAACAGAGAGTGAAAACCATAAAAATGAATGCCTTTACTAAGTCATTATCAGCTTTCGTTGTTCATTTCAAAACCACTACAGTATTCTTTATAATAGCTATCAGTAGCGACTCTGATCCTATAGTAAATGGCTTCATCAGTGTGTTAAGTTTCTGGTGAAAGTTACACAGTGACAACTTCTTCCAGCAGAGAGACCATAAATAATCAGCTAGAAATAAGTTTGCTAGAACAGGAAGACAAAGAAACCCTAAACCACAGTAACTCATTGAAACATTTAAAATTGTATTTTTTCCTATTTATCCTATTTAACCTCTGTGCTTTCCAGGACTTTTATAATAAATGCAGCAAACCCACAAAAGTGAGTTAGGGCAGATGTTTGGTCAGTGTGGCCCAACAAGAGACACAGGGGGAACTCATCTGGACCGCATCCCAACCACACACACTGCTCGGAGGCAAGGTGTTCCCTCATCGCGCCGCGCCACGCACACCTCTGTCCTGAAGGGGAACCCCCATCCCCTTTCCTCTGACCCTCTTCACTGTGAAACTCTTGCCTTTCTTTACAAATAAAAAGCATCTTAAAGACACCCCGGGTCCCCTGCTCCCCGTGGCAATCCCAGCTCACGAAAGTCGGGAGTTTTTAACTAGGCAACTCGATTGTGATCATCATTAGAGAAAACCCCAGAGTCATCTGACCTGCTCTGTTATGGTATATGGGGAACAACTCTGCAGCAAAAACTAAATGCAAAGCAGATGTGAACTTTAACAAGGCATGCTGATTCACCCTGGAGCGTGGTTATCTGGTACCAACCAGGACCGCCATGCACTGGCTTTTTGGATGTCCACAGCAGAGGCGGTCCCACTTTGTCTCTCGCAAGAGGTCGTGGTGTCCCTGAGGGGCTCTGCAGGACCCATATGACCTTGGTGGCTTATCACACGGTGTTTATGTTCAGCCCTTACTCTGGGCTTGTTACTTCCATTCTAACCTAAATTATTAAAGTTATTTGATCCATTGATGGCAGTGTCCTGTCGTTCTTTTGGAGATAATGGCCAATGAAAGCAAATGGGCAAGGCTGTTGCTAAAAATTTCTTGACTGATAACTACTCACCTCTTTTCATTCAAAGGTATAAAACATAAGCTGAGAAAGCAGGCTCAAAGGCTTTTGTACCAGCACAATAAACCAAAGCACATTAATGTAATTGCTAAATTCAAATATATAACCAAAGTGACCCTGTCCTTACTGATTATTCAGTGTCACGATGACACACCAGCTTCTCGGGTCACACGCTGCTGGTTTAGGTAAACTGCAACTCGAGCATGGATCCCATCCATATACCAGTTCCTCTAAACAAGCACTTTTCAAACACTTATCTTGTCATTTCATTTGCGTGACACATTTTAGAATTAAAAGACCACAGGAGAACAAAAACAAGACTCTCAATGTCTGAAAAAAAGAGTGTGCACGAGATGCTGCACATGGCTCAGTAATGTCTAATTCCACATTCCTGTACAGGGGCCTTGGGACGATCAGTGGGTTAGGCCTCCGCATCTGCGATCAGAAGGTCACTGGTTTGATGGACCTCTTTACCCTGATCCACAGTTAAAATAGTTTGCCTGCCCACTCAGCTGTGTACTCAGTAGGAAGGAGCCACAGCCAGATAACTTACTTAAAACATGAGGGCTGCCAGCAGTGGGGTCGTTCCCAAGCATCCATCTGTATAGTCCATCTTACATTTGTTTGTGCTGACAGATCAATCAGCAGTGCTGGATTTGTTTAATTTTTAACCTTAGGCTGCTGCATCTGTTGAGAAAACCTGGAATTAGACCACAAAACACAAGCCAGCAAAAGGATGAGAAGTACCTGCCCATTCTGGAGGGTATAACACATCAGTGAGGGTATAACAGATTGATGACGTTTGCCACTTACAATCACCATGCTGGAACAAAGATACAGTAAATCTATTCAACGTGCATCTGAAATTCTGAAAGTTTTATTGTGAGACAAAGCCAGAACTACTGGATTACAACCAACTGAGCATGAGGCAGTTGCAGCTTCAGAAGGACCTCTTGGATGTTGATATAACAGTGTTGCAGGAATAACTATGATCCTTTTTGACATAAACCAGACTAGACGTTTCCGGAGCAATAACAATGTATTCCCCGTATGGCCCTGTCACCCCCCCATCTAAACCTGACCACTACAATCTCTAGCCCCCCCTACACAATCTCCCCACCTCTCCAAAAAGACCTCGAATAAAAGCCTAACTCTGGATGACTTGTCTTGATGTAATCAGCTTCACCAGATCTGCTTCTGTGGCTGTCCTCTCATGTGCCAACACTAAGTGACATTTTTTCATTTGCTCTTTGTCCCAGATCATCACCTATACAATGCTCCTGTGAATTCTGAAAAGGATCCATCACACAATTTTAGAGTTGCTGTCTTTTACAGTCCCCCTTTCCTTCCTTTGCGGCCACCTAGCTATGCTTCTTCCATTTTGGAGTGATTTGTGTCAAAATTAAATCAGGTGTAGATCTTCATCCATATAATGTTTTCTGGAGTGGTAATAAGATCCATCAAGTATTTTTTGAGTTATCATGTTCATAAGATCAAGTGTCTTCTGTTGTCATCCTTCCTTCTGCTGTCACTAAGCAGCATTGGAGTGATTTATCACAAAATTTGCTCAGTCCTAGACCTTCCTCCATATGATGTGTCTGCAAAATTTTATCTGTCAAATACTTTTTGAGTGTATCAGACCGGTCGTAAAACCATATGTATGCCCCATACAGGGGGTATAATTTGACTGCAACAGCAGGAAACTCTCAAGTTCAATCATTAAATCAGGTGTAGGACAATCATGCATTCATTCAAGTTAAGGCCAGCCATGGAATTTGAAATGTATAATGGCACTTGTCAACTTGTAAAAGCTTGGGGTCCCAAGACAAGAATGACCTACAGAAGATAAGGCAACTGATACTTTCAAACCTGCAGCTTTTTTGCTGAGCAAACCAAATGCTCCATGGACATACTCTATTTCATACAGCAACACCTCAATGTGAAGCTGAGAGCTGGGGGATAGCGTGCCACAACACAAAGCAAACCACCAGCAATTGTTTTGGAAAACGGATCATCTTCTATGACGTCACTGGCCAAACAAGAGGGAGGTCTGTGAAGCATCCGGAACACCGGGATAACCACAAAAGGTCTGTCATGTGGGATGCACTGCCCTCGTTAAGAACACGGCAAAGCGGCTCGTAAAACAGACCTCGGTTAGGCAAG